CAGTGCTAAGTGTATGTATGTATGTATGTATGTGTGTATGTATGTATGCCCACAGGGTGCGCCGCATTGGCCCAAATATAAGCAGAGTTTCCCTTCAGTCACGACTAGGAAATGTATCTTGTGCAGAAAGTTTAAATTAAATTTATTATTACAGGAAATGCGAACACAATGTCTTCGTGAGCAAAACTGTAGCAGCAATTTTGAAGTACAGAAATATATCTTACTCAGTCCTGCAAACATTAATTGGAACACATGTTCATTGCCTGTGACATGCACGAAAAACAAGAAGATTTTGCACAAGGATATAAAAGTAATTCTAAATAATGAACTCCATGGAGGGGAGTTCTTCTTGAAAAGCTAATATTCGTTCATGTACCGAAGAAAATTCCCTCTTTTATGGAACCGGAAGGTTCATTATCGTGTTCACAAGAGCCAATCACCGATCCCTAACCTGAGCCAGACGAATCCAGTCCATACCACCCCATCCTATCTCTCTGAGATCCATATCAGTAAAATTATTTCTAAATAAAAAACATTAATCAAATTTAATCTCACCAGACTTCTACTCCATATCTAGCATTAGAAATGTTATTAACTCTGTTGATTTGTCCTGAAGGTACAGTATTCAACCGGACGGTTGGACTTGCACATTTCACTGTTATGTTTGGCTGGGACTAGAACCGGGGTTCGAGTTTGTAAAGTAGCCTATGTTCTTCGCGACGATATATATCCTAAGCTATTCATAGCGACGTTAAATAAATCATCATCTGAATCATGAACTTTATACGGCGAGATCATTAAAACCTGTTGCTGTTAATTCCAAGATGGCCTCGGTCTCCCCAAGTGTCACGGTCGCTTCGGTCGGCAACGCAGTGTCCGTTCCGGCACGCGGTCTGTTTCCACGTGACACTGACACCTTGTCTCTTCAGTGTATTGGTAGGTTTCTCCGGGAAGTGGAGTTCCCTTGGTGCCTGAACCGCTGCGCCTTGCGCTGACTGGGGATTTCACGACCGCAATAAAGCGTTGCTCGTGATATCTCTAAATTAGGCATAAACAGACAAAGAAATGAACGTCACATGCTTCATCAGACACCGAGCAACAGCGCATCAGCGCTCTTCTAAGCAAGTGATGGCGGACTCTTTCACGGCGCACTCAGTGTCTAGGCTACATAGCGTCAGCTGGTAGGATGAAGTGGAAGGCAGTAGATGCGTCATAAACCGTGGTTATATCCCGGCATTCTCCTGGAGTGATTGAGGAAAACCACGAGATATAAGTAAGAACAGACAGTATCCCGGCAGAGATTCGAACCCAGCGTTTCCCGAATATGATTCTGCAGCGTTACCATCAGCCCGTGACCCTCCCCCCCGCAACTCCGACTTCTGTCTCTCTCACCGGACGCTTGGAACATGACATGAAACATCTGACCCAGCACCGTGCATCTCTGCAACCAAGAATACACACGTGTCGATAAATTGCATATGTCGCCTGGAGTTTATTGCACCCTAACTTTTGGGATCAAGCCAATTATCCCCTTACGTAGCTCAGACGCGCTCCCTGCAGACTGCGTAGCCACCACCAGTGTTTCGTCGCCACAATTAAAAGGCGCAAATTTTCTCTCCGGAGGAGCAGAATTTGGGAGAGTTCCAAGATATCGGGAGAACACAGCTTTAGTGCATTAATGAGATCACACCCTCCGCTGCCCTAAAATTAATTTTAGCCTGGCGAAATGTCCCACTCGCGGGTGTCGAAGCATAAGCTATGAAATGCAAACCTCTCAAGCACACAAGTCAACTTAAGGTAAATCTGTCTCTGGGCTTCATTAAGTACCACACTATGTTCTCGTATGCGGGAGTGGAGGTATAGATCCACGCATTCTTAACATCATCACTAGATGGAGATGAGTGTTCAGCTTGACGATCCGGCCGCTTTACTCCCCAGGCAGGAGGTTAGATGGGCCCCACAGGTGGTGTTGACACTACGCCTTTGCTCATACCGGGAACCGAACTTTGCTTCATCAGCCGTCTAGCGCGCAGCCCATCGCAATACCGACTGAGCTATCCCGGCTCCATTAAGTGGATAGATTAGCTACTACAGTGAGACCCACGAAATGTTACTCACATCTACTGTGTGAAACCTACAGTTGTGTCACATACATACCAGACTACACGACCCAACATCCCAGGAGACTGTAATCTGTATAAAACTTCTTTAATAACCGTGGGAAGTCAACGTTTCCCATACAAGGCTCGCCGCTTCTTGTAGCGGCGTCCATTTTAACTCTTCCGTTCGATGATTAGCAGTAGCTTGCTGTCAGGAGTTCCTGGGTGCAAGTCCCGGCCCGGAGACCGGCTACCCTTACTGAGGGTAGCCGTGGATTTGCTCGGGTCCTGGAGGCAAAAGCCAGGACATAAACCAGAAGCAGGGAAAATCCATATATCTTCCACATCGGTTCTGAGTTCCTTACTCGCTAATCATCCTCCTAATCGACTCTGCGTAATTTGAGAAGTTGCAAGAGTTTTTAAACAATCCGTAAGTAAATAAAATAAATAAAAATTGTATTGTCCGCCATTAAAATACACTCGAAGGTCCGAAGGACATTTTCTGTTTCCATTACTGTTCACTGACTGCGCGCTCCAACATTCCTGCTCAGTCTCTGTATTTCAGATTGGGTTCGAGTCTCGGCCACGACACTTGATATCCTCACTGTAATGTTTTCTGGCTCTCTTCACTCCCTCCACATAAACACCAGGATTGTATCTCAATTAGGCCACGACCGCTTACTTCCAAATCCTTTGCAGTTCATCATTCACCAGCCATCCTCCCCGATCCTATGGATACTTCTCGCTGCCCTGCCACCCCACTCTCAGGTGCCGCCTGACCGTCCCTCAGCCTCCGAGTCTCACGACCGCTTCCTCTGCAGTCCTTCAGCTTTCACCGGACGTGATCGTCCTCTTATCATTCAGTTGTAAACAACCGCTACGATTGATACGTCATTATGGTTACCATTTGTCTACAGCAGCGTTCCCAAAGGGAGCCCCCCAGTATTAAAGGCTAGTATATTGTACGTCTTTACGCAGAACCCGTTCTCCTCGCATATGAAACGAAGAGTCTGTCTAACCCCTTGAAGCCTGAAGTTATGTCTCGGTGCCAAACCCCCATTTGGGGCCCAACACCACATTCTTGTTACTGTCAGACAGTTGCGGGGTTGTTTATGTGGGCCTCTCTCTCTCTGATGAGAGGATGGGTCTGTCGTTTACGATCGCTGCTGGTCCTCGCCAGCGTAGTCATTCTCTGGTGTGAGCCCCACAAGACTCATGACCATATTGCATTGTCTCAGATTAGAGAGTCCCCCAACCTGGAGGGCCAGGTCCCCGTATTTATATCCCCCAGGAACAGGGTGGCCCACTTATACCCCCAAGCATTGGGTTCCCTTTTCGTCTCCTCCTACAACTCGCGGGGCTACGGTGAAGTTATTCGAAACCACCTCCACGCAGTGAGTCTGAAGTTCATGTAACTACTCGTAATATATAACAAGTCAGTCCGTACCTCACAGGAAACACATTACGTCTCCGCTACAAAGTCCAGCCGGTTAATGCTGTTCAGGGAAATGATTTTATTGTGCGAATCATACGACACACGACGCAAATGCACTCTGTAGGTGACATGCAAAGTTCTAATTGGTGTTAAAGCAGTTAATCCTGCGTTGCAAAGGGTTAATTGTTCAGTACTTTAGTTTAACTGCGGTACTATGTACAAAGAATATTCATTGTCCGACATCAAGAAACAAAGCAGCAGCGGCACATGCGAAAAACGAGATGGCGGACGTGCCGCTCGCGACAGATCTCCCAAGCTGCAGGTTAGTGTGTTGTTTCGAAGTGCTTGTTATGTAAGCTTCCTGGCTGATGTCTCGCCTTGCTTTGTGCCAGATTTTAATTCTTGAACACTTAGACAGTAGAGAATTAGAGCAGAAGTCAACATCGCAATAGCAAATCTGAAAATGCAGCGAAGGTCATGTATATATTGCGGACTTCCGGGTTGTGACAACGTGTATACTGGAAAGTTGGTATCAATCTTTTCTATCCTGAGGATGGAGGTTATGTTTTCCCCGAAACGTTGGTGCCCACTTGCCAGACTACACAATGTCATAACCCAGAAGGCAATAGCAAGAACAGAGGAGATTCGAAATAAGTGCGTCTGGAATGGCAGTGTAGTGCTCTACCACTATGCTAAACTACGGGCAAGTGATAGATATTTTGTTCTGCCTGTTGCCTGCGTCTTGCTGGTCTAGTCTTCTGTCCTGAGGATGAAAGAATTACATTTCTCCGAAAATCCTGTGAATTTCTAGCAAACTACACGGCGTCACATCTCAGCAAATAGCACTCCTTGAATTTCTGTGATTTCACACGACTGAGTATGTCTCGCGCGTATAATAATGACTATCCACATTACTAGCATTAATGAAGTCCATCTGTTCTACGAACCAAGGGGCGTCAGTGCTGGCGTGCAGTATATCCGTCAACACAAATTTTCGGGGAACTGAGTTTGAAGTAGGGGAATCAACCGCAATTCAAAAATCAGAAAAGAAAAACGCGTTCTGGAAGCTCACGCGTGCAAGTAAGATGAACTTACGGAAGTGTGTGCAACACAACATGGAGAATCGGAAAACTGCATTGTTTCGTGTTGGCCCGAAAGAGGAGATACAGTTTTCCAGTATTCGGGCGTCGACATGCGTAGGCAACCTTACGCAAAAATAAAAAAAAGTCTCGTGTGAGTACATCTGCACTCCCCACCGACGCATGAATACTGGAAAGAGTTCCATGTGAGTACATTTGCACTCCCCACCGACGCATGAATACTGGAAAGAGTTCCATGTGAGTACATTTGCACTCCCCACCGACGCATGAATACTGGAAATACGTTGCAAACAGAATCCAGAGACTTTCTAACGATGATATCACTAACTGGAGGTGACGCGGCTAGAGCCTGCCATCCCTTCTTACCTGGTTTGCGATGGCGCTCAACTCCTCGTCATGCTCGTCAAACACTCCGGGCTCAGCAGGGCGGAACTGTACGTGAGCCTTTGCTGTCGGCTGGAAGTTGAAATCCTGAGAGACCGGCAGCGGGGGCGGGAACACAATTGGGGACGGCGCCCTGTTCACCGGCTTGGACACGGGGCTCGGAGACCCCAGGGTGGGTGTTGCTGAGTTCACGTAAGGCTTGGGCGAGGTGGCCGAGGAAGGAAGTGCAGCCGCGAAGGGTGTTGGGACGCCGCCCGCCACCGGGGGCGTGGCGCCCGGTCTGACACCAGCAGCGGTAGCGTCCCTGTGATAACACAGTTCACATATTTGTACTAGAACTGTGTAGAGTCCCGCGATGCTTTCTGGCATATGACTTCGTGTTGTCAGGTAGATATTTAGCGACGTTTCAAGAAGCCTGCTGCCTCTATCTTCAGTTATCCTGAGGATGCAGCAAATTTCTTCGAAGCGTCGGCAAAACGCTATCACATGAGAACCTCATAGGTATCACAAAGACTACTGTATTTACAACGTTATATTTCTGCCCTTGCCACCGTCATACTTGGTCATACAGTACTTATTTCAGTCCTGGAGGGCATTTCAGAATTTTGCTGAAAAAGCTCTCCATGAACTTGAAACCTCGTTACACTTATACAAGACACTAAAAGTCTGCAGCATGAGAATGCGTACCAGAAGATGTTGCTCTCTAGAGTTACGAGTATTCTGTGTACTTTCTACAGCTACAGACTCAAGCATGCGTCTCATTGCCGTTTACTGCTGCTATCTTCTGTTCACGTTAGTAACTACATCCAAGTCTGGCTGCCAGCATACATAACGTCATAGTAGCACGCAGTACATAGACTGGGTCTCAACATAACCTTAAAAGGAACAGAAGCTGACAGCTACAATTCGGATGGGAACGTCACCAAGGATGTCACGTGATATGGATATATTGTTACGATATGACAGTCTGGCGAAAGTACCCAAAGTCGATACGAATTCAGTGTATCGATGTATAATCATGCCGTGCAATAGCTCAGGCGCTTAGGCATCGACTTCCCACCTCAACGAACCAGGTTCGAGGTTGGATCATGTGGGATTCATGGAGGACAAAGTGGCAGCACCAGGGTAGCGTGTAGCGCAAGCGCCCAGCTTGGTGGCAACATGACGTACCTCTGTACAACGAGGGAGACTGTGTTTCCAGCATTTCTGAACAAGTTCTGCGCGTCTTCGTGTCTCAGGTCTCGGGCGTCGTAATCAGCAATCTTCTTGATGATGTCGCCTCGACGCACTTCTCCACCTTCTTGTGCCTGTTGAACAAATGGACAACCACAATGACGCCAGCCTCACACAAACACAAGATGGAGGAGACACGTGTGAGCCAGGCCTGAATCTTTGAAGCATGAATTTCATCTCAACAATATTAAAATATTCACTTCTTGAGCAGATCACTTCCGTGTTCCTTAATACGTACATACACACTCGTCAGTTAATTCTGAGAGATCTATAAACTTGAAATAATGTCACGATTCATGTTTTGTGGAAAGTGGCGCCGTGTAGTCTTGCAGATGTTCAGCGTTGTTTCATGGGAACATACTGCATCCATTGTCAGGGTAGAAGAATCCTTTTATATACCATGAAAATGGTATATACCAGGTATATAAAATGGAGAAACGTTTTCATCTAACCTGAAAATTAAGGTAAAACGTCACTCCGAAACGTCACTGAATCTCTACCAGACTACGCGGCGTCACGGTCCATAAGATATTCCTATCCAGAGTCGGCGCTGTAAGAACCTCAAACTCAGTATGTCTATACTTACTTACTTACTTATGGAGCTGAGCCCTTCTTGAGGAGAAGCCAAATCTGCAGCTACTCAAGAACTTCCCAGCATTTTATGGAACCCGAAGGTTCCTTACTGTGTTCACTAGAGCCCTCCACCGGTCCCTGGTCTGAGCCACAATATGTATATTTATTTATTTCTGATCTGTTCATCCGCACTATCAATAAATGCGGTCATGTAGGATCGAATGGCAGGACGATCAGTGAATAATGCATTTTGGAGGATGCTGAAGGAAGCAGTTGTTGCCAACTTGACGCACAATTTGTTTAGACACAGAGATAAAACCTCAGAGAGGGTAAACGCACTCCAAACCTAAAACTATCGACAGCGAAGCAGGAGTCCCACTTACTCCATTAGGATGTTCCCAAGGAAAATCGCGTTTAGGATGATTAATTCCAAGCACTTGTTTCAGTACGCACAGACGTTACAACTGTCGGCTTCTGTGCTAAAAGAAAATGGGTTCAAAACTTATGAAAGATGCTTTCGGGAAACGTGGCGTACGAACGCCTATCACAATGTTTACTGTTTGTTTCTTTGTATTTAAACGTGCTATATCAACTGCAGACGTCATATACCCGTGAATCGGAGACGCGGTGGATGGTGGAAATAGTCGATGTCGACCCTTTTGCTTGTAAACAGACGCTCTGCAACTTAACTGCACAGACAGGAATATCATTACATTGGATATCACGTGACGTACTGAACTCAGATCGAAACTTCATGCATCTCCTTTTTCATTGGCCACTTCATTTTGGTTTCAAGCCACGTGTTACCATACGTCACAAACACTGGAATATGCAGGGACATTTATCCTTTACACAGAGTTTACTTGTTCCAAGCGGAGAACATGTTCCACAAAAGAAATGACGTCAAGACATGTTAAGCCCATTTGTGTGTGGTCACTTTGCGACCACGTCAATAGCTAGAATACGCAGACAGCGTCGAATTGTTGGGTGACTGATGAATTGGAAAGGATTTGGAAGGAGATATAACACCGGAGTTTGCATGAAGGGCCTGAGGAAAACGATGAAGAACTCGAGTCAGGATAGCCGATGTCTCGGTGGCGATTGGAACAGAGCACCTTCAGAATACAAACCCGAAGCATTAGCGTGGGGCTGTCTGACCCCCCCCCCTCCAAACAGAGCACACTTACCCTGGTGATGATGAGGCACGAGCCGGTGTCCGAGCCCCCCACAATTCTGATCCCCCACGGGACGTTGGGTGACGTCCGGCGGAGGGTTACACTAAAAATATGGGGCTTTCCGCCCCCTCCAGCAGCGCTCATCTTGGGGCCAGTACCAATGCCTCTCGCGTGTATTTGTCACAAGTCACAGCTAGCACAACGAGAAAGCAAGTGCGTTGATAGTAAGCCTCTACGCGTTCTGAGCCCTTCCTGAGAAGCTGACAGTACCAGCTACTCAAGAAATTCCCAGCATTCATGGATCCCGAGGGATGATTTCTGCGTTAGCAAGAGCCCGCCACTGGTCCCTATCCAGTCCACACCCTCGCATCCTAGGTTTTAAAATCGATTTTAGTATTATCTTCCCATCTACATCTATATTTTCCTAGTGGTTTCTTTCCTTCCTATACCCCCCCCCCCAAAGAGCTGAATACACGTCTTCAAATAAACAGGCGTGTTGTCTGAGCAAGCTAAGCGGTCAACTTCAGTCGTGTTCCTGTAAGCAGCTGAGCCTGTGTAGCGACGCCGCAGTCTAATTGCAGGTTCCTATCGGCGCTAAGATTACGCCGCTACCCTGAAGATGTCAGCAGGAGATTCCTCCGAAACCTTAGTACTTATCTACCACGCCACACGTCATCACTTCCCACGAAACAATCAAAACGTTCAGAACTCCTCAGCACTGAACAAAGTTCAGAAAAGGCTTATCGCCAAGCCTTTTGCGATCGTCACTGGCCGTTCACTCCAGCACAGCTTACTCTTATCCCGATACCCACTTGATAAGCATGACTATCTACGGAAGGTTCGTGCCTTTGTACCACACACGCGCTATTTAGCCCTGCTATATAGATTCACAGTAAGACTAACATTTACGATCACTCTGTACAACCGGAAGCACATCGTAACTCATTATTGCTTCTGCGTTACTTAGGGCCATACGTAGGGCCGCGCCCTAGCTCAAGAGGTTAGTTGCTGGCTTCCCACCGCAGCGGCCCGGGTTCGATCCCGGGGTCTGGTCATGTGGGATCTGTGGTGGACAAAGTGGCGCTGGGACAGGTTTTCTCCGAGTACTTCGGTTTCCCCTGCCAATCTTCATTCCACCAATTGCTCCACAATCACCCTCACCTATCATCTGGGGCTGGTACAATAGGCCAGAATTGATCGCAGTACAAGGGACTTAGTCCCACCCCACTAGCAATAAAAAACAAAAATAATAGGGCCATTCGTTGGGCCTTCTGTTGTCAGTAACGTCACTGTCTTCTCTAATGGTAAATATGAACTCAAATTAAAAATATCTACACGAATTTGTGTCTGAACAAAAGATCTTTACATATCGTGTGGTATGTCTCATTCTTCATTAAAGAATTTGGGTTTAATTCACTGAAATCTAAATTCCTGTGAATAATATATAAGAATACAGTCCGTACTTCATAGGAAACACATTACGTCTCCGCTACAGAGCCCAACCTGTTAATGCTGTTTAGGGAAACAGTCGCTGTTTATTGCGAGAACCGTATGGAACACACAAATGCAACGTGTGGACAGAATGTTGATTTGTTTTATTATTATTATTATTATTATTATTATTATTATTATTATTGAAGTAGGAGGTACGTGTAGTTACCACAACGATCCGAAGGGTTGATAATTATGTTAAATCACGACAGTTTCGTACGTGTATAGCTCAGAGTTTATTGTGCGTTACTAACATTCATAATATGAATAGCAGATTTACGTGGGTAAATGTATCACTGGTATTTTTAGTTTTACAAAATGCGCCATGATGTGTCTTTCGGCACGATTTTGTGTAAAGATGGCTGACATTTTGAACGACTTAACTGCCATGTTGCCGCAAGTTATCTACAAGACCATGTGAAGGCGGGGGTATTTCTGGCAAACACGTAAAATACACAAATCTGAAAACACGCAGTTAAAAGCACTGAATCACCACTCTTGTTGTTCCTTAAACTCACATACATGAGACGCCCAACAAATCGAAAATGTAAACTATCTCCACTACACATCTGAAAGTTGATAGCGTTAACAGTGAATGATAACAATCCGATAAGAATATTGTGACGTAGAGGCTTACAAATTATTATCCTTGTCACGATGTCATCACACATGCAATGACGCAAACACAAAAATTTGGAAATGTTCACATGTGATCACCATGGTACTGCAGTCTACAAGTCTACGGTAACTACTAGACAGCTTCTCCGAAAAAGATTTTCTTGTTGCCTTCGCTGCTTTGTGTAGCCCATAAGGGCTTATGGCCGAGCTGCTAAATATAACCGCGTTTTGCTGCCACTAGCGGACCCTGGCAGTAGCCATTGCCAATGCCAGCGGACGCACTAGCGCCGCCGTCAACAAGCCCACTTCACCACTTCACTACTTCCCTTGGTGCAGGTCAGCCTTTGAAATTCTTACATGCGTCCGTCCACACATGCACGGCAATCTCTTAGCGCCTGGAACTGGAGTCGGACACAGTTCGATTGCCCTCACAATTGCGGGCCCGTGGGCGGAACCAGGTTGCAGGAATTTGGGGAGCTCGTTGCTGAGTTTCCATAATTTTAACTGTGGTTCTGTATGGGTGTGAAACTTGGTCTCTGGCATTAAGGGAGGAACAGACCGAGGGTGTTTGAGGACAGGGTGCTGAGGGGAATATTTGGACCGAAGAGGGATGAAGTGACAGGAGGTTGGAGAAAACTGCATAAGGAGGAGCTTCATAACTTGTACTCTTCTCCAAGTATAATTAGAATAATCAAGTCAAGGAGGATAAGGTGGGCAGGGCATCTAGCACGAATGGGGGAGACGAGGAATGCATGTAGGATATTGGTGGGAAAGCCAGAAGGAAAGAGACCACTGGGAAGACCAAGACTTAGGTGAGTGGACAATATTGAAATGGATCTTAGAGAGATAGGATGTGATGGTATGGATTGGATTGATCTGGCTCAGGGTAGGGACCAGTGGAGGGCTCTTGTGAACACGATAATGAACATTCGGATTCCATAAAACGCTGGGAAGTCCTTGGGTAGCTGCACAACTGGCAACTTCTGAGGAAGGGCTCAGCTCCGTGAGTGAGTGTTGCTGAGTTTCCAGTTTAAGTGAACTGCGGGAGTGGGGCTGGGACCGGGTGCCCCAGTACTGGGTCTCTTGTGCACACAATCTCCTGATGACAGACAGTACAGAACTTCGGTGGAATGACGAACTGCGGGGAATATCAGTGTTCTCCAGTTTCGTTACGTTCGCCAGAAATCCCACATGGATTATCCTGGGACTGAACTCTGTACTCATAACGAAATTTGATACGAACACTATGCTATTTCATGCCATTCTGAATTCGTACCTTTTTAAAGGAGCCGGAATAGCTCAGTCGATACAATGACTAGGCTGGACCATCGAGGAGCCGGAGTTGGATACCCGGCAGAGGCAAACGATTGTACTCTGGAGCTGTTGAACCCACCCAGCCTCAGGTCCAGTGGGTACAGGGGTCTATTTGTTGAGAGTAAAGCGGCAGGGGCGTGAAGCTGACCACTCACCTCCACCTAGGACCTTGCATACGCGACGTCCCGCTTGCGAGCGTACAGAAGACCGCACAAACCAGAAGTGCACAAGGAAAACATCAGTTTCACTTTACGCAACTAGACTGTTAACCATTCATATGACTAATCTTAGTTTTTAGTGGCAAAAATCCACAAATTCGGGCATTAAGTACAGCTTATACGTAAAGCATTTCCCTGCAATGTCGCAGAGCCTGCTAATGATGGCCAGTGATGGCCGAAACAAGCGAAGGTGTATTTATACAGCTTTATATTAAACGTCTTTCACTTACAGAGAGAACTGGTTTATTTCTTTGGAAGATGAAGCGTCGTTTCGTTTGAAGGTTCCGCGTTTCGCTCGCTCGTCCTTCTGATAAGGGCATTATGAACGTGGCGGCGTCAGGATAGTTAGTAGTAATGGCTTCCTAAATGTGGTGAACTGCGTAATTTCGAGTAATTTAAATCGGCTTCGTTTAATATCTCACAGAAAACAAAATGTCTCTCTATTACAAAGACCAGTTGGTGAGTACTACGAGTATTTGCAGAAACAGCCGCTGTTTGGGCAAAATTTCTATTGTTAAAACGACCGCTGTATTTTCAACTGTTAATGTCATGACTACAGTTGCATCTGTTTCCGTGTTTGTAAACACAATTAAGCAGTGAAGCCGCCAGTTCGACGATCACGGATGATATGCAGTTATGCTGGTGTTTCTATTAACAATAGACGATCATGTCGGGGCTGCGTGAGGACTGCGGCTAAATTTGGCTACCTCAGTCACCAGAAGTTACGGCCTGAAAGTCACACCGTGTGTTTGGATTGGCTAATACAGCGAGCTACCGGCATGCAGGCTGCCAATTCACAGCGCCGCCTCGCCACATCACATTTCTGCCTGCAAGAAACGTTGCGTGATCAAAACAGACACTCCCTCGCTCTTCACCCATTACAGGACAGTCGTTAACACAGGTACCGCCTGTTTAATATTAAAAATAAAAAAATGTCCAACAAGGTGTGTCTATATATGTATTTCGTATTATTCTCAGAAAAATTAACGGTCATTTCCCTGCATAATGATATCCAGCTGGTGTTTGTAAGAGAGACGCAGTGTATTTTCTGTGAGGTAGATGTTTATTTTCTAAATAATATTTCAATGAACGTCGGGCTTCAAACCTCCAACATAACAGCACACTGCTGGTTGTCATTAAGAAACTGGCAATTCTTCAGCTGGCCGAAGTGCTATTGTTTTCGGGGGGGGGGATTTTACGACTAGACTGTGTACCGTCATAAGGTGTCATTATACACGCATAAGTTGGAAGGGATTTGGAAGGAAGCGGCAGTGGTCTAATAATGTGACAGCCTGCAATTTGTATGGAGGGCCTGAGGAGTACCAGGAAAAAGCTGTCAGAATATCCCGTCCCGGCAGAGAATCGAAACCAGCGCCTTCCGAACGCAAGTCTATATCTTCCACCTACGCCATCCTCCACCCACCCCCCCTCATTTGTCATTGGTCTTATGAAAGCCGTGTTTCACAGCCGACCAAATCATAATTTGTTTGGGTGTTCTCTGCTAGGTCCGCGGTAACAAACTGTAAATTTGAGAGGTACGTTTCTGTGTGTTAGATTAATTTTATTGGTCTGAAATCTGCATACGTATTTGAGATTATGAAATTCAGTCCCTTCTAGAAGATTCTGAACAAACGCTGACGAAGGTAGTGGAGTTCACGCCTGCTTCAGCCAGCAGGTGCGATATTGAAATAGCTTTGCCTAACACTTTAGCCTGAAGCGCTCCTAGCGACTATTGGCAACAAGCTCACGTGCGGAAACACAGACTTTCAGTAGCTGTTAATGTTAATCGGAGCATCCAGTTGCGAACGGCACACTCCGACTTTAGCCCAGAAATAACTCAAAAGTCTGTTGATCTTGTGGGCACTTCTGCAGGTCCAGAGTTATAATACTGAACGCTCATTGTAAGAGACTGTACCATGACGGGTTCTCTAACTTTTTATAAAGTGAAGCTCATTTAAATAATCTCTTAAAAATTGGTTCTTATTTCCGAGGAACTGTGCTTCATCTCTATTACAAAGATCAATAATCGCTGTTTATTCTGGAAAAAAACCGAAACGGGCAAGCACTCTCCCCGAAATACTGCATATAAGCAAGCGCAGTCGGTATAACGCCTGGCTACGGGCTGGACGACCGAGGGTCGGAGTTCGAGTCCCGGTAGGATCAAGAATTTTCTCTTCTCCACTTCACGTCATCTACGACAGCTTTGGGGCCCACCCAACCTCCTATCCAATGTGTACCGGGGGCTCTTTCCCCAGGGGCAAAGCGGCCGGGGAGTGAATTAACTACTAACCTCCAACCAATGCCGAGGTCAAGAAAACGTGGATCTATACATCCACTCTCCCATAAGTCTTCATGGCGTAGTGCTTAATTAGCTAAGCACAGGGGCAACTTTACCTTTATACACATAGTCACACATAGATACACAGAGTTGCAACTAATGTTGTTTGCATGCTTACGTCACATGTTCTCTGTTTTTGAGACCCTTGCTTAATCTAAATTAGTACGTAATAATTTCGTTCCTACGTCACAGTAAACCTACGGCCTCTTCAATGACAATTAGTCTTAAAACAGGTGGTATATACAGTTACCACTGCTTTGATGCAGGAAGTATGTGCTATTGCTCTTTCCAAGTTCACGAGTTTCAGGCACCCGTCAGAAGTGAGCAGATCTTGCGCTCGAATACCTACACGTTTCGATGTTCAGCAGTCTGACTGCCTGGCGCCGTGCATTCTGGTAGCCCCAGATACAGTATATGGCGAAAGATGCGGCAAACGATCGTCAGGGTTTCTCTAAATCCGAATTCATGGGGGTGGTCAGTTCACTGCAAGAAATTGTGTTGGACTAAGGTACCCATATCCGGCATACACGTCTCCACAATTTGCGCTCCTACTCCAATCTTCAGGCGCTGGATTGCGATTGTACTGATAGATTTTTCATGTTCCTTCATTTCTCGTATTAGAGGTGACATTTCGGATCGGCCCCGAGACTTTCTCATAGCAGAGATCTTGGCAAGTCCCTCGGCTAGTCACGAAATTCTACGCGAACTTGAGGTTCATTAACGTGTTCAAAAAAAACCCACAATAGTTCCCTGTCCTGAGACAAACTAATCCAGTCTAAGCCCTCCCAGCGTACTTCTTTGAAGATTTGATACCTCTTATCTGTGCCTAGATTTTCCAAGCGGGTTCTTACCTCCCTCTTTCCTACCAAAATCCTATTCGCAAGCAGCCATTTGAAGTGAAAACCTGCAACTGAAAATCAAAGGAAGGGCAGTGCCAAAATTCAGAATTCAGGACATGAGTACTTAAATAAAAATTGTGCTATCAGTAAATATTGTGGAAATTCTACAAATAACACATAATGCAGAACTGAAACAAAGGAAGAGTTACATAAAATTTTAGGCATTTGAACTAATCTTATCCGCCAGTAATGACTCAAATTTTTTCCGTGTTAAAATTATAAAATATTACCCAAGATTAAGAAAAAGGCAATGAGCAATCCTCAATCTCCGCTCAAACACTAGGGTCGTGGGTTCGAATCCCACTCGAGGCATGGATATGTCTGTATACGGTTATCCTGTGTGTAGGTAGCGGCCTTGCGACGGGCAGAAACCCCCGCTCAAGGAGTACTACCTACTGTGTGTAGAATTACAAAACTGAAAAAAACGGCCGAGATCCAACAAAAGGCTGTAGAGCCATTGGAGAATG